TAAACAGACGGACAGTTACCTGGTGCTGGTAGACAGACAGGCAGCCCAAACTGTAGACCAGGAAGAAAGCCTGTGGGTGCAGACAGATAGAAAGCTCATCTGAATTCAATGCACACTTGTGACTTAACACAATGCATGCTGGTCAGAAATTTTGTCTGACTTTCGCCAGCGCTGCAGAATGTCACCATGTCACATGACATTAAAACCTTGCAGGAGCAAGGCATCTGCAGAAGTCAGGTGATGCAGTCTCTCTCCTCCGGCTGCACCAATGAGAACCACTTCAGTGATGACAGACTTTGTCTTGATTGGCTGAAGGCTTCACTAACACATGTTCAACGTTTTTTTTCTAAGAAGTTCATATTCTTATCTCCCATGGGTTTCTCTCACAAAATGGATGCAGTCTATTTGACCTCCTCTTTCTGGCAGCTCCTTTTTTTTTTTAAATTTATTTATTTATTTATTTTTTAACATATGGGTGCCAACACTATAGTTTTCATTTCCAGCCAGAAAGCTGTAAACACACTTAAGTTCAGGAGTTTGTTATTGTAAAAGAAGAAATGCCCCAGTAGGAAATATTTTTATCCTTTAGATTATTTTTCTTTTCACCCTTCTATGCATGTGGCTAGAGGACAATGAAGAGACCACGCCCCCTACCTAGTGTCCATGAACAGGTATAATCAACAGGTGAGTCATAGTCTGACTGCTGAACTCTGTGGATCAGCCTTTAACTGCCTCAGGGGAAAAACTAATGTCTCATTTGGACAAATTAACCTTCAGTTTAACTACAGTGAAGCATAAACAAATAGTGCTGCTTCAGGTGCAGGTGTGTTTGTGATTTGATCAGGATGACAGCGCCCCAGGTCAGAACATGATCCAGTCTGATGGACACATGATCCAGGATTGATCCAGTTCCCTTGGTTCTACTGTACAGAGTAACTGTTGTATTGGTGAGTTACCTCCTCCAGACTGAGCTGCAGGTACTCTGACAGAGAGAATGGAGTCCGCCTGACCTCCCTGACCCCCTCACCAACCTGCAGACACACAACAACACACTGATTCAACACAACAGCACAACTGGATCTCAGAATAAACCAGAACTGAACTTAAAGTCCTGCAGTGAGAACAGACCTGGATTGAGATGATGACTCACCTCACTGTCACAGACCACCAGGACAAAACCAGGACCTGGAACCAAAGGCTCAGTCTCAGGATCAGAGTCAGAGCTGAGGTCAGAGACAGGGTCAGGATCTGGGTTGGAGTCAGAGTCCTGGTCTGAGCTGTGATCATGGTTCAGGTCTTCTGGGTCCAACCTGAGATTTGAAAATAAGGGTCACAGTTGAGTTTAGTTTCACATTTCCAGCATTTTTTTGTTTCAGTTTTCTAATAATGAAAATGTCTCCAGTGTGGTCTGTGGATTCTTGGACTATACAGATACTATACGGAGACTAGACCAATAGTGCTAAAGGGAAAATACAATATTGTTGTCTTTTTGTAATATGGGTGAACTGACCCTTTAAACCCTGATTTAATTCATTATGAACTATGAATCTCTGACAAAGACATCATTTGTGTAGAGTTATTGGACAGAAAGTCAAATATTTTGTGATTATAAACATACTGAATTTAGCAGAACAGCCAACCACTGACTAACACTAACAAAAAAAATCAAATCTGGTGTTCCTCAAGGGTCCATTCTCGGGCCTCTTCTATGCAACATATACATCCTCCCTCCTTTGCTCGGATTATGGAATATTATATTATTTCTTACCATAATTATGTAGATAACACACAACTGAACATAACATTGTCACCAGGTGAATACATTCTTTAAATAAGTGCATTGAACAAATCAATAGGTGGACGTGCTAGAATTTCCTACAACTGCTAAAAAAAAACCCAAAGAAGACCAATTAAAAGTCAGTCCTCACCTTGTTTCAATGACACTAAATCACAGATAAAACCCACAGTGAGATTGCTCTTATAGAGAAAATGTTTTAGGGTGGCTGAAAGGTAGGAAAGGTCAGGAAAAGAGACTCTGTAGTGCTATTTGCCTCAGAGCAAAGAATTGAATTTATGCAATCATAACATGTCTTATTTAAATATTTATTATTTATTCAAATTAGTTTTTACTGCTTTTAAATGCAATTTTAATGTCATCCTAATGTTTTATTTTTATGTATTTCCTTGCCTCTGTAAAGCACTTTGCCTCGTGTCTGAATGGTCCTATCTAAAAATGTACTTGCCTTGCCTTAAAAAGTTTTAGTTTCTCGTTGTTTTTTCGCCAAAATGCAAAGAAGAAATTAAAATTTATAGATTCTTCAAGGGAGTGTGGTGACCTGGTGGAGAACCACTCTACCTGCAGCTTCTTTTGGCCTCCGGCTCGACGTCTAACCTCGGCTTAGGCCTCTTTGTGTGGGGACAGACTCCATCCTCTGGTCCTGGCCCCTTCTCCTCCCCCTCCTCACACCTATGTCCGTTCTCTCCCTCTCCCACCTCCCTCCTCAAATCCTCCATCTCTACAGGCCGAGAGTGTGTGAGCAGGATTTGACTGACAGCCTCATCATCCAATCCCTGAGCGGAGAGAGCTGCCCCCGCCCAACATCGCAGTTCCTCATACCTGCATTGGTTTAGGGCAAGGACATGATGTGATGTCATCATGTGACCAGGCAGGATGTGATGTCAACATGTAAACAGAAAGGACGTGATGTCACTGACCTGGACTGTGAGATGACGGGTAGAAACAACCCTTTGTGTTCTGTAACAGAAACAGGAACCAGCAGACTTCAGCCAACAGCACTGATTGGACCAGACTGATGATGATGATGTCACTGTGTGGGTGTACACTCACGCTCCCATTGGTCGGAGATGCTGTGGTCCGGTCTGGCTCTGGACAGGATGCCTTTACCAAAATAACCCTGAAACGCAACAAAATCTGTTCAGTTTGAGTCACAAAACTCACAAATCAGGCCAGTACTCAGATCTCGTTTTAGGTGATGTGGTTTAACTCAGAACTTATTTTAGGTGATGTAGATCAAGTCAGGCCTGGTTCTAGGCAATGTAGATTAACTCTGACCTGGTTGTGAATCTTTTGTTTGTGTTCCGGATGACAGATTAACTCAAATTGATTTTGGTGATGTGGGTTAATTCGGACCTGGTTTTAGGTGATGTGGATTAACTCAAAACTGTTTTATGTTGATGAGGTTTAATTAAGACTTGGCAATGTGGATTAACTACCACCTAGTTTTAGGTGATGTGGTTTAACTGAGACCTGGTTTTAGGTGATGTATATTAACACAGACCTGGCTATAGGTGATGTGGATGAATTTAGACCTGGTTTCAAATGATGTGGATGAACACAGGCCTGGTTTTAGGTGTATGGATCAACTCTGACCTGGTTGTGAATCTTTTGGATGTGGTCTGGATGACAGACCAGCACGTGTTGGTTGATGAGCTCCGCCCGGAGGTCGGTCCTCTCGTCCGGGCTGCTGCTAACTGGCAGCGGAGCCTGGTACTCCTCGTGCACTCGGGTGCGCCGCCGAGGAGCCCGAAACTCCGCCTGCATGCCGTCGGGACCGGCTGGGACTGGGTTGGAGCTGCTGCAGTGCTCTGCTGGATGTGGACAGTGCTGATGTTTCTGCTGCTAAGTGTTAGCTTCTCATCTAATTACTCTGTTAGCCTGTTAGCTTCTCATCTAATTACTCTGTTAGCTTGTTAGCTTCTCATCTAATTACCCTGTTAGCCTGTTAGATCGCTAGCATACCGTTTCTGTCCGGTTTGTTTTTGGTTTCTCTCACATGTTCTTTCATTACAAACTTCCCGGTCGGTTTTGTTTTGCTGTCGGACGCTGCAGTGTCTCTGAATCTGTGTCCGGTCGGAACTGCCAGTGCCTTCTCATAGTTCCTCCTGCAGGGTTCCCGTCAGTCAAAAAACCTCCTGTTTAGAAGTTTAGATAAAGTCCGGTTTGTGTCTGTAGTTAAATGTGTAAAGTCCTTTCAGAAGAAACAGAAGTGAGATATCAGCTGTTAATGAAGTGATGTTTTGAGGCAGAACAAGAAAATTAAAACATATGTGAGAGACATATGTGAGATTTTCTTTGAGTTGATCTGTTGTTTATAACGAAAACGTTTTGCACTGGTTCAACGTTTCTTATTTGACATGTGTACAATGTTTTTTCAGATTTAATTATGTTTTATTATTTTTCATACACCCTCATTATTCAGGGGACTTAATGAACAAAGTCAGTTTAAGCTGTTGAGGAGCTGCAGTGACAGTTTTATCAATCCTGGACACATAAAACCAAAATGATCTGAAGGCAGAAATATCACTAGTAAGACAGACAATGTAAATACACAGTACTGGCTGACTTCACTGAAAAACAACAATAAGACTTTGGCCTCTGTCCACTGAGGAAACAGCTACTGGAGCTTTAAGCTACATCTAATGTTTTTTTTCTTAAAACATTTACACAACAACAACAAGCTGCATTCAGGATTCACCTCCATTTGTGCAGCAATGTCTCTGACACGTCACATTATAGCAGCAACTGGACAGCAAGAAACACACCCGACTGTCTGGAAACAGTTTTAAATTGACATTTATGACCCCATATCATTTCTTATAAAGCTGTGACAGTTATATCAGACAGACAAGTTTCTGTCAACACGAGAAAAACATACAAAAACACTCAGTACATATGAACGTGTGTACTTGTGTGTCCACATACAGCACTTACACACACATATAGTGTATATGCACACATCTATACTTCATATTATCTGATATACATGTAAAAGTTTTAGAGCACCGACATTTTTCCAGTTGTTACTGAATTTTACAGTGTAATGTTTCAGTGTTTCTGAAATTAAATAACAGAGCATATAAATAATAGACACTTTAAAAAGAAAATCATTGAATCTTCTTGTTGAACTAAATTTAATCTAAAGTTTTGACTCATCCAGCAGCTGAACACACTCATGATGTTCTTTCTACATCAATCAAAATCAAACTGCTCTGTCCTCCTGTTTGTCGTCCTGTATGTCCTCCTGTCTGTCCACCATGTAGTACTGATGTCTCTGGATGTGGTCATACAGCGTGGTGTACTTGGAGACCCTCCTCATCCTCGGCAGGATGAAGCTGTGAGTGAAGGTCTCTCTGCTCAGAGAGCTCCGCCCCTCCGTTGCCAGGACGCTGTTAATGAAGTGAAGACAGTAAGTGAAGCAGTTCTGGTGCTCCTCGTCGAACCTGAGACACAGACATTGTGGACAGAGACAGGTGGTCAGAGAGAGAAAGACAGGGGGACAGAGAGACAGACGAATATATGTTTGTGTTTGGGCAGGTGTGAGGTGTACCTGTGCCAGGCGGGGTCCCACATGGATCCGTCAGAAAAGTGGTCCAGGTACTGGTCCCACTGAGCCAGCAGGTGGAACATGTCAGGTCGGACCAGAGGAACACTGACGCAGCGCTCCCACCCACTCTGATCTCTAAGGACCCCACCCCGAGTGTAGTTATACACAACTCCTACACACACACACACACACACACACACACACACACACACACACACACACACACACACACACAGAGGAAGCAGTGTTACAGGGCTGCGTTAAGGTGAATATGGATGATAGGGTTTGATAATGAAAACACTGCCAATCACATCACTGGTCTCACGCTCTGAAACAGCCAATCAACAACAAACAAACAAACAAACAAACTGTGTGTGTAATGCCACTGATTTAGATGCTGCAGTGATTAAATGAAGTGATTTTAAACAAATTAAATGCTATTTTTGATGCTGTTTTACACACACACACACCTACTGACTGGAGACTGATTCATTAAATTAATTTATTAATTTATTGTATTTCTTTTGTTGATAAAAATCATCAAAGTGGCAGCAGATTGCCCCAGAGTCCTCAGAGGCAGTGCTGTTGTTAAACATTCATCATGTTTTCAGATGCAGCTTCAGACAAACTGGCAGCAGCAAATATTAGATTTCACGTCTGAGACCAGATTCCATCTTCCAGCAGGAATTATATCATATTTCAAAACCAGAGGGCTGCAGAGATCAGACTGTCCTCGTGGGATGACAGTGGACGTTGACCAGCTGGTCCCACGTGACAGGTGGGTCCTTTGAACTGAACAGGACTTGGGGTCGGGCTGTTCCACCAGAACAAAGACGAACGCAGACGGAGGAAGACCTAGTATCAGACTACCAGCCTGACCTCTGAGTCTTACCTTTAGTGTTTGAGATGCCTGTGTGCAGATCTGATGTCCCATCAAACTCTCTGAAGGAAAAACAACAGGACACACACTGGTTAGACTGGTTCAGATTGGTTTAAACTAGTTAGACTGGTTCAGGTGGGTTTAAAATGGTTTATACTGGTTTACACTGCTTCAGACTGGTCCAAACTGGTTTCGATTGCGATTGGTTCAGACTGGTTAAAATGATTCAGAGTGGGTAAAACTGGTTTTAGACAGGTTTGAACTGGTTTAACTGGTTCAGACTGGTCTAAACTGGGTTACAAGTAAAACGGTTCTGTTCATGAGGTCTTTAAAGTCTTAATTTCTTTATTTTTCATCTAATAAAATAATTTTGTATTTGAGGTCATGTGAGTATATTGTATAGTGTATTGGTTGTTATTGTTGTGTTCGTGTGTTTATATACTGGCGGGGACTTCAAACTGACTTGTGTCACTTGTGGGGACAAAAACAACAGAAACACCTTTTTGTATAATACAACACAGTTCAACAGCAGAAAAAAACTGTAGCCTGAAAATATTAAATGATAATGATAAATTAATGGTGAAGTTGAACGAACACGTCTCGAACAGTTCCAGTAAAATCTGAACATTAGAACCTATATGTGGGATGAATTATTAAAATTAAACCTGTGTGTTTACCTGCCCGGGTTGTTGTGTGCAGGTGCAACCAGCAGGCAGCAGGAGCTCTTGTGTCCGTTGGTGAAGGGGGAGGGAAGGCTGACCGGCGCTTCCTGCAGTCTGTTTCCCCTCAGCACCTCCCCGCAGCTCGGACAATCTTCTGGCACAGAGAAACAGAAGATCTCCTTCTGACAGTGACTCAGCCGGATCACACTGCGCTCCATCTCCTCCTTGTACTCCTCCTTTCACTCCTCAACTCTTCTTTTAACTCTTCTTACTCCTCTTTCTCCTTAACTTCTCCTTTATCTCCAACTCCTCCTCTTACTCCTCCTCTTGCTCTTAAGTCCTTTCTTACTCCTCCTTCACTCCTAATCTCTTCAGCTCCTTGTTCCTCCTCCTTTTACTCCCCAGTTCTTCTGCTCCTCTCTATCTCACTTGTGTTCTTCTGTTTCTTCTTCTCTCCTCCTCTGTGACACACCTGGTTGCCAGGTTACAGCCTATCAGATGACATCACTGCCCCAGCTCCGGCCTATCAGGTTGTAGCTGCTGTCAGGCAGACAGTCATGTGAACCGGCTCACCTGTTGGCTGCTTTAGTCTGCACAGGTGACCTTCAGACCACGTTGGCAGCGTCGTCATGGAAACCGGTGTTTATCTGCAGACCGGTGTTGGTGTCACTGTAACTTCGGTTTACTGTGACAGGAAACAGAATCAGCTCTTCCTCACAACCAGAGGAAAAACTGATTGTAATTAATTTTCAAAAATAGTTGCAGAATCATTTTTTTCTGTCTGATTTTGTTTCTGTCCAAGACTAATGAAATAAAAACTTTCAAAATAAAAGATGATGTCCTGATGACCTGATTAGTTTAGCAGACAGACAGAATGTAGGTCAACACTTTTTCCATCTCACCTATCAAACTGTTTGTGTGTGTGTGTGTGTGTGTGTGTGTGTGTGTGTGTGTGTGTATGTGTGTGTGATCTGATCTGTCAGCTCAGGTGTGTCTGATAACACAACAACAAAACACATGTGGACACGTGTGAAAAACATGAGAAACATTCTTCATCCCGTGTTTCAAACCTACACGCAAACAAGTTCATTCAACTTAACAATTCTTGTTTTTATTTTCAGACCTCAGACTTTTACTTAATGTTCTGCTGAAGGTTCACTCAACGTGATCAGCAGTATTTACATGCTACACAACTGTACATCCTGATGAAGCAGATTTTACTATCACAATGAATATTTCATCACTGTTTCACTGTGACAAAAACAATCTGGATCAAATATAAATACTGTGTATGTTAAATATCTGTACTCTCTGCAGAGAGTTGTCCCAGCAATCCCAGTAAAAACACAAAGCCAGAGAGTAGTTCAGGGAGACCTGAGTGTTTCAGATAATACACCAGACCATTCAAGGACCCTGGGAGATCTGAGTGTTCTATTAAAGAGGCAAAACCACCTTGGCAGTTTCCAACAAATAGATCAAGCAGGTGGGTACTTCAGGGACCATCCTACTCTGCAGTGCTGTAGTGTCCATGCTGACGGACATGCTGGTACACTGACAGATACCTGGAGGTCATCTCCATCCTGGGCAGGATGTACTGAGAGGTGAAACACTCACTGCTGATTGTTTGCCTGCCCTCTGCCCTCATCACATGGTTGATGAAGCTCAGAGCGAAACCATAGCAACAAGACCCAAACTCCCTCTCCTCCTGAAACCTGCATAGAGAGAAAAAAAGCTGATGCTGCTTCACCTGCCGACCAGGTGTTCAAATTAAAAAAGACCCACGTGAAAAAACAACCTGTCTACAGAAGCTGATCAAGTTTCAGCAGAGTCTTCATCATTCTTGCAGTTCAGAGTTACCAAGTTGTTTTTTCACCTGGAGAGAGAAAGAGACAGATCTGACCTGTCTGCTGTCCAGGTGTTCAGATGACTGTAGGTCTCCAGCTGTTTGTCCCACAGCTTCCTGAAACTGAGGCTGTCGTTGCTGGGGTCAGTTAAAGGGACAATGATACTTTGCTCCCATCCCTGCTGCTGACACTGAACCCCCGACTCTGTATAACTAAATACCACACCTGTAACAACACACAAAATAAAATAAGAAAATTAAAAGTAAACTATAATTTATGATTAAATTAAATCAAAATCTTAAAAAATAAAAAACCTAATTAAATAGAAAATAAAATTAAATAAATTTTAAATAGAGTAAAATATAAAAAAACAAAACAAAATATGTTATTAAATAAACAATAAAAAAAATTTAAAACAAAAATGAAAAGTGTAGTTCAATAATAAGTAGAATAGAATAGTTAAAGTACAAGTACAATTAAAAAGTTAAAATCAATAAATTGTAAATATAGACTTTAGAAATTATTTTAAGATGAAATAAAGTAAAAGAAAATACCAAAAAAAGAAACCAACCAAAAAACCCCAAAAAACCCACACACAAAAAGTAAATTACGGTAAAATACGATAAAATAAGATGTTACCTTCAGAGTTGGAGATGCCGACATGAAGCTCAGACTCCTTCTCTTCACTGTGGAGACAAACAGCAGATCCAAATCAAATTTTTAAAGGTGCTGATATTCTAAATATGTGAATGGTGATGTAATAAAATATGTGAAGTGACATAAAAGATCCAATTAATATCAACAGAGTTGATCTAGCATTTTCTCACTGGCGTTCTGATGATGTTCTGACTATTTAGATACAGGTTAAATAATGAGTATAACACACATAAATAATGCCACAGCATCAGTGTACAGATGTGAAGGCAGATATATGAGAGTCATAAAAAGGTCAATTTTAACCACCTGAACTGGAAATTGTGCAGACGTCTACCTAACTGAAATTTGTGAAATTAATTCAAAATATGAATTACAGTTCATTTTAAATGAAATTACATTAAAATGAATAGAAATAAAATGAAATAAGATAAAAACTAAATAAAATGAATATTCAATTATAAATTAAAATAAAAAAATTGAAATAGTATGAAATACAGCATAATATAAAATACAACAAAAAGAAACTGAATGAAAAATAAAATAAAAACAGAAAAGAAAAATGAAATAGAAAGAATAGGATAGAATAAACATTTTATAATCAGATATAATGGAGGATAATACTAGACAATACTTGTACCTTTACTTGTAATGCAGTATTTTTTAATTGTACTAAAGAATCTGAGTACTTATTTCACCATTACAGCAGGCGATGTTACAGGTGTCCAACAGGTGTTCTAACAGAGGAAGCTCACCTAACCCTGGTCCATCTACTGTAAACCTGAGGAGCTCTCCGACCCTGTCCAACCTGAACCGTGTCCTGTCCATGTCTCTGAGAACTCTCTGATGTGATGGTCGGTATCAGTGGCTCAGTCCAGAGTCTACAGAGTCCTGCAGGCTCGGGTCAAATACAATAAAACACATCAGTTTACCTGAACCCAGCCACTCCGTGCCGAGACGTGATGAGGAAGCAGCAGGCCGCCCGGTGTCCGTCTCCTACCGGAATCTGAATCCGGACCGGTGCCTCCATCAGGCCGAGTCGCACCGCCAGGCCGCACACCGGGCACCACAGTCCCGCCGGACCGTCCAGCGTGTAGACGGTCCTGCCGCAGTGTCTGAACCGCAACAAGTCTCTGATCTCCATGGGGACTCCGGACAGGTGGACGGACAGGAAACCAGGGGACAGGTAGGGGCGGAGCCACTGCTGGATCTGTGACGCCACAGTTTTGTTGTTAACATTCTCAAAGGTGAATGTGCACCTGTCAGAGCAGCTTATATGGTACAACACCACACCATAGCTTACCTGTAAAACGTCACAACTCATCTGAACCATTAAACTCAGGCTTCAAAGCAAAGATATTGTCTCATATAAAAACTTGACAGAATGTGTGATTGGTTGATGAAAGATGTTAGAAACCAAAAAATGTAAGCCTTCTCTCCGTTAATAACGGTCAAATAAAGCTCATAGGAACCTTCCTGCTGTGACTGCGGCGCCCAGTCGGAACTGTTAGAACGGGACACCGGAGTGACAACTCTGAAGCAGCCGTCGTAGCTGAAGCTCAGCGAGGAAGATGAGCACCAAACAGGTGACCTGCAGGTGAGTCTGTCCGTCTGTCTATTACTTGTCCGTCTGTTACCTGTCTGTGTTTGAGTTTCGCGCTGTTTCTGACCGAAAACTCGACGGGCGCGTTAGCATCGTGCTAATGTTTTTAGCTGTTAGCTTGTGTAGAAGTTCAAACTGAGTCAAACTGATTCTGACTCATCTGGTTCACTTCACTTGTACCTGCTGTCAGTCAGTCAGTCCGTCTGGTTGTCTGCCAGGTTGTGGGGGTGGTGGGGTTCAAAGGTTTAATGGAGCTGGAAATGGTTTAATGTCTGTTAAGAGCTGAAACAACCAGTCAGTTAATCGATTAACGCTGATCATTGGCAAATTAATCTTCGGCTTTTCTGATCATTTATTAACTGTTTATTTTGTTTTTAAATAGAAAATCGGTGGTTTCAGCTTCTTCCATGTTAATATATGCTGTTTTTAATTTTAACAGAAAGCTACAGTAACCTGGATATATGTGGGTAAAAGAGATTAAAACGGGCCTTGGGAGGGTTAAAGTGGTGCTTTGGAAGGCAAAAAAAATATTTGAGACCTTTGAAATGCTCATTGAAGTGGAACCAGAGGTTCAAATGGTTTTTAGGAAAGTTAAAATGCTCCTTGACAAGATTTATATGGTCCTTGAGGAGGTTCCAGGGGTCAGCACTGTTGCTATGGTAACCTGGAGGTTAATAAACCTTGAGCTCTGATTTAGAACAATGATTAAACTGTCCATCTGTACTACTAGCCAATCACAGAGCAGGACATCTTCTTTTCCCATGATGTGTGTTTGTTGGACGCTGCTGATGTCACTTCCTGTGCAGCTGGTGTAACAGATATGTTGTGTTTCAGGTATTTCCTCCACGGTGTGTGCAGAGAGGGCAGCCGCTGTCTGTTCTCTCACGACCTGAACAACAGTAAACCCTCCACCATCTGCAAGTTCTACCAGAGAGGAGTGTGTGCTTATGGAGAACGCTGCAGGTAACACTCACCTGACAAATAACACTCACCTGAGAGGTAGAACAAACCTGACAGGTAACGCTCACCTGGCAGGTAACATCCAGTCATATCCTGTATTTGCTGTCATCAGACTACAGTAAAAACAGTTACATCACTTCCTGTGTATATTTAGATGTGTATGATTTGTGTACAGGTATGACCACATCAAACCTTCATCAAGAGGCGGAGGGGGAGGAGCTCCAGAGGATCAGGCAGGTGGTGGGGGAGCTGGTGGCGGGGGAGCTGGCGGCGGCGGAGCTGGCAGCGGGGGAGCTGGCGGCGGGCCTTCAGTCAGAGGTGGAATGAAGAAGAACCTGGTCCTGAGAGACAGAGGTGACTTAACACGCTGCAGACCGACTGTACATGCTCATATACCTGTCCAAAGAAAAACTGAGCTGTCTGACCTCTAACCGAGTCTGTCTCTCAGTTCTAGGTGTAGACAGGGTAGACAGGATGTTCGGGGCTCCAGCAGACAGTATGTGGTCAGATGTCTCAACAGCTGCAGCTCCTCACTCCTATGTGGAAGCCATCAGGACGGGCCTGGACGCTTCAGCGCAGGATCAAGGTTGGACACTTAACACACTCACTTCTGATTGGCTGCTAGCGGTCAATAATGCAATCAGTAACACATGATGAGGCGTCTTGATCGAAGACGTTAATAAATGTTTAGTGAAAAATTCTTTTTAACTGTGCTCCCTTTAGCCACTCCCCCAGTGTGTGGGCCGTCCCAGAACCTCCCCCAGCTGTGCCCCTATGCTGCCAACGGACACTGTTTCTATGAAGAAAACTGTACCTATCTCCATGGCGACCTGTGTGAGGTGTGCGGGCTGCAGGTGCTCCATCCCCACGACCCCGAGCAGAGGAGAGCGCATGAGAAGGTGTGCACGTTGATTTGATTGAACTTAATAGAAGTAAAGGAGGAGTTATTCGTGTTCTGGTGGATTCATTAAGACTCATTTGTCACAGTGAAGCGTCCTGTAACGCTGCTGCTGTGATTGACAACATTTAAATTGATTTATTTTGATGTTTCCATTCATTATGTACGATATAAAAACCTGTTAACTAGTGAAATTTGAAACATGAAACTGTGACATTCATACAGAAATGAAATGGAAAATCAATGGCTACCTGGAAAAACAAGAAAAATACATCAAAAAATTTGAAATGGTCTAACATACAAGCAAGAATGTTTGCTATAGATATAAACCAGTAAAGTCTTTTAGGCTGAGTTTAGCGTCGATCAACTTCATTTAGACTGGATACAGACTAATCCTGGGGCTTAGGTGTGGAGCAAAACAAGCCACCATCACTGTAAACCTGCGATCCACACTGTGGAGGTCATTTTATCTTTTTGTCAGAAACAGTTTGACTCTGGTGTTCAGAGACTAAAAGCTGTCCACCCAGATAAGTTGTTGTCTGCTATCTAGACCTTAAACCTATCAGGTGGGCCTGTGGATGTAAAGGTCACATGGGGACACTAATGGGTGTTGTGAAAACAAACAAGAAACCAGAGCTTCTTACAGCAATAACTGGACGAAGGATGGTCGGTCAACCGATGAAGTGTCCCTGGAAACACAAATGATCAAACATGTAAACCGTTTATCATGGCATCACTTGACTTTGCGTCTGATAGGACTCGATTGATGTTGGTTTCAGCCTGTAGTTTTTATAGGCAGGGTGGTTGGATAGCTCTGATACTGTCTGTCTGTGTCTGCAGATGTGTCTGGCGGCCTTTGAGGCCGACATGGAGAAGGCGTTTGCTGCGCAGCTCAGCCAGGACAAGGTGGGTTGATTTAGTCACTGATCTGGTTGTTATGGTGATAGTATGGTAACAAGAACTGTTTTTGTTGTTGTTGTTCAGGTGTGTTCCATCTGTATGGAGGTGGTGGTGCAGAAGGCAAACCCATCGGACCGCAGGTTTGGCATTCTGTCGTCCTGCTGTCACACCTTCTGTCTGGCCTGCATCAGAAAGTGGCGCTGCACCAGAACCTTCAGCAACACGATCATTAAGTAAGAGTCTGTTTGTGTAAAACCAGAGTCAAGGACAAAGTCTGCGAGGTCTGGACAGGGTGTCTGCTAAGTTGAGATGGAGTCTGTGAAGTTGGGACAGATTCTGTGAAGTCCAGGTCGGGACATGGTCTCCGTTTGTCTGATGAAATGTCTCTTTGTCTCAGGTCGTGTCCGGAGTGTCGGGTCGTCTCAGAGTTTGTCATCCCCTCAGTTTACTGGGTGGAGGATCAGGAGGACAAGGACCACCTCATAGACCTCTTCAAGTCTGGAGTCAGGTGAGCTACCTGTGTGTGCCTGAGTGGCCAAGTCTGCCCGCTGCTTTCCAGCCAATGAAATCGCAGGAGCTTATTCGAGTACTCCATCTTTAACAGACTGTATACTGTACGTCCTGCACTAATTCACTCAGGAGGAAATGCTGTTCTGTCTGTTTCTCACAACATTCACTTGATGATGCAAGTGGAACAAACACACTGCAACATTTTAAAGCTCAGTTCTTTGGCTTCAGGTTGGACTCTATAAGACAAACATTATATTCTTGGCCTCTTTGTCATTTTATTCTTGTATATTATATTTTCAGCTGATCAGAATGATGTTGTTACACATTTCTAGCACATCTATTAATGAAGTGCGTGCTGCTTTCTGTAGGTTCATACCTCCACAGATCTGATTCAGTATTATAGTGCACCAGAAACACACTGCAGGTCACCTCAGTGTCATTTCCTGTCTGTGTCTGCAGTAAGAAGGCCTGTAAGTACTTCGATCAGGGACGCGGTTCGTGTCCGTTTGGAGGGAAGTGTTTGTACCTTCACGCATTCCCAGACGGAACCCGAGCAGAACCCGACCGGCCACGGAAACAGTTGAGCTCCGAGGGGAACGTCCGGGTCAGAAACCATTGCTGCCATTTTGATTGACTTCCATCAGTTCAGTGCTCCTGGGTTTTGTAGTTTATTAACAGTGTTTATGTTTGTTTTCTCAGTTCATGAACAGCGTCCGTCTGTGGGACTTCATCGAGGAGCGCGAGCAGCGGTCGGTCCCGCCCCTGCCGGCCCTCGATGATGACATGGCAGAGCTGAGGGAGCTCTTCATGCAGATGTCAGGTCCGAGCCACGACGGGCCGGAGACCCCGCCCACTGCAGACCAGTAGAGACCGGACTGGTCTTTACAGGTCTCCATGGTAACTGGCGGGACATCCAACTGTGTGGGGTTTTGAGACTTGACAGCCATGTTTGTGGATCACATGATTGAAATATTAAATCATGTGATAACTCTGCAGCTCTGTGGTGTGTTTCAGTCTGATCGTCATGTCACCATGTTTAATAATTGATTATTGATATTTTATTTATTGTGTAAATAAGTAAATACGGAGTAAGTGTGATGTCACCTGGTTGTGTTGTGCTGAATTAATTTTTTTTCTTTATCATTTTTAAGTTTTTTGGAAAACAACCCCCCTCACCTCTGTGTAAAAAAAGAAAAAAAAAAGGACTCCAAGCAGACTGAGCATTTGGACACCATGTGCATGAATTGTTACATAGTTGGCAAGTAGGACTTTGGCCACTTGGGATTTGACCTTGACCTTTGTGTCCCAAGAGAAGGTGATTTAGGCCCAATCCCAATGCCCTCTATAAACCCTAAACCCTCACAGACCTAGTTGACGTCACCTGGTGAGTGTTTGACTGTGAGAGGCTGCAAGGGCTCAAAATGGTATAAAGAGGAATGGGACAGCACTCATCACGCTACCTTGATGATGCCAAAACATTTGCATTCAATTGTGGGTTTGGGACTTTTGATTGTACATTTTTATTCCCTCCTTTCATTCCCTGTTTGTAAACAAAAAAAATAATGTTGAATCAGATTTGGAATTCATCATCATGTGATCATAGGACAAAAAACTCCACAGTTCAGACTCTGAATCACCAGTGAGCTCTGTGTTTATACTGTCTTTTTTCTTGTAATGCTAACATTAGGGTTCGTTCCTTTCACGCTTGTTTGTTAACCACTCTTCTTCTATTGTATTTCTTACATTTTATGGCCGTTGTTTGTCGTTTTTTACGCTTCCGGGCGTCCCCTGATAACCATGGCAACCCCGTGTTTTATGTCACAACACTATGAACTTTGGGTATAAAAGTCTGCAGAAATGCAGACTTACAGAAAGTGTGCATAAAGGGCTCAAAGGGTCTGATGGAGAGCTCTCATGCCCTCGATGGTCTGACAGCAGGACAGTACTACACCCTCACAAACTTACCGGTAACTCGCCTCCGAGTCTGTGAGGGTGGACATTGGGTTTGGGTCTTCCTGACTGTGCCACTGTGTGTAGAGACATAGTTTCACAACTTGACTTGACATCACATGTGTAAGACTGGGGTATTTTTGTCTGTTTAACCTTAAAATGCTTACAACAGTCAAAATGTTGGTGATAAAACTCTGAAAAAAAATCACACATCATTCTACTGGGGTCAGGTGTATTGTAAGAAAAAGCTGTGCATATAATACTGATTAGTCAGGCACTGCAGACTCACTGTTTGTCCCATTCAAACACTGTTAGAAACACTTGATATCTACCATCTAGAGAATGCCTGTGTCAGTTTTGGTAGCATTTGTTTGAAGACTTGTGGAGATATCAATATAAATTGGTTTTGCATTGTTTGAAAAATATAGAGTGACAGACTTCTGAATTGACCATAGGTTGCAGTGAGGCAAACGCTTACCACAATTAAGTGGATATGCTGTAGGACCTACATGTGATTTATTGTGATTTTTCTTTTGAAGTTTGGAATGTCATCAAAAATCTCTTGCACACCTGAATAGTCTTTGTGACAGGTGGGCAGGTGAGGTAGACACGTATGAGGTAGAAAAGACATCTGCACACTGACTTCACTTGCTCAATAAAGAACATTTAATACGTTTCAGTCTTTTTCAGGTATATTGGACATTTGAATGTGAAATATCTATAGATTAAGATGTTTTTGAGCCACACTCACTTTGATCAATCATAACAAAATGTCATGCATCAACTGAAAAAGCACCACATTTTGTACAAAACATGGCATGGCAAACTACTGGCCCAAGTTTTGTGTGAGGAGAGCGGAGAGCTAGCATGACTAAACTCCTTCGTCCAGTTAAAATAGTAAAAAAAATTACCAAGATTTAAAAAGTGTATTGTAAATTGTGGCTTAAAATTGGATAAAAAGTAAATTTGTGATTAATTAAAATGTTTTGAAAATTGATGGAAACATTTGGAACATTTGGACATTTTAATGTGGAAAAGTTATATATTAGATCTTTAAATGTTAGATCTTGAACCAACTGTGTATTTAAGTAAAATTCAATTCAACTCATGGACTAATATTGCCACCTTGTTTTTTTTTCCTAGAAGATGATTTATGGAGAACCTGTCCGATCCGGTCCTGCTTAAAGTTTGTCTGCTTCTTTTCCCTCCATGTGTGTGTGTCTCCTGAATCAAGGCAATATCTGCTCTGTTAAATTTCAAATAACTCAACCTCTTCCTTCTTTTTATAGGATTCTGGTATCCGTTACTATTCCACGTAATCATCTTTATATATTTAGCCATTAGAGGAGATTAAAAATGTCTAGTCTCTAGCTGATTGTGTGCTGGTAAGAGGAGAGCGCCCACCCCCTTGATCCATCACCTGTGCTGTGCTAATCACAGACACTAGACACTATCCTGAACAAACAGCACTGAAACCTAAAACCCTAAAAATAATCCCCCCATCTCTCCACTCAATTCCCCCAGCCTTCACTGGACCTTCATGGTCCATGAGGCACAACAACTGGAAATCCCTCCAGATCCTTCCAATCACACAATGAAGCTTTCCTGCAGTTTGTGGTTTATTGTCTCCATCTTGTGGCCATTCATACGAACACCTGTTATCTCACCTGTGGGACAACTGGAAATCCTCTCAACTTAACTGATAATAACACAGCAATATAATACCTGGGCCACCAGTGAGACTGGAAAAGGACCAACAGATCCAGAGAACCACTGTCACAATCAGACACCACAACTTGAACAAAAGTTAATGTATATATAAGAATAATTTAATTCAAAATAGATCAAATTGATAAAACAACATTATCATATATATGTGACAAAATTTATATTATTTTCAGCAGTTTTGTGAAAAAGTCCTTGTGGTTTCACTGAGGACTGTAAGTGGTGAGATAAGATCCTTTGTGCATACAGACCATGACGTCTCACTCCTCTCAGACTTTTACAGATAAAATACCTTGTGAATGACTCTCAGACCAGCTGGAACCACATTTCTCCTCAAACTCAGACAGTTAGGAGAAACTTTGAGCCCGAAGATGTTCAGCAAACATGGCTCCAGATTCACTGCTCACTCCTTCACTCCCTCCTTGTCTCCACCAATTACATTAATCCAATCAGAGCACCTTAACTCCTCACCGCTGAGAGCAGGGAGTCAGGCAGTAACAGGTGGCAGGGACACCTCCTCCCCCACCCCACCCCCTCCCACAACCACTCGGACGGCTTCAGCTCTGACCGGCTGCTCTTTCCTCTGCTGTCTCTGGTTTGATGTTGGTTCGGTGTTATGAAGCTGGCAGGGCTGCCTCACACTTTGGCGGGCTAACACACCCCGGCGCCCGGGCTGTCAGGCTGCCAGGCAGTTGGGGGGGGGAGGACAAAGAGGTGGTGGTAGTGGTGGTGTTGGGGGTGGGGGGGTTGGGGGGCAGAGGCTGCTGGGAAAAGTGCTGGAGAGGAAAGAAAGGCAGGAAGGCAGGAAGACTGTGAGGACTGTGAACCTGCTGCCACAAACAAACAACAAAGACTCAGCAGAGCACTGGGAAGAATGGGAGCTGCGTATGGAAAGAAGGTCAGTCCTGCACTGCTGCTGTTTGTCTCTGGCGGAGAAGGATTATTGTTTAGACCCTAAGAGTTTAACAGCTCGGTTTTACAGTAGATTTGGATTTGATTGAAGCTTCAACGTGAAATGTAATGTAAAGATTTGTGCACATGGGTTTCTTAACAGTACACTGTGGGTTTATGGTTCTGTTCAGACTCTCACGGCACTTGGTTAAGGTTTCGTAAAGATCTGGTTTGATACAGAGACAGTTCACAGTCACTTCAGACACAACCTGTTTATTTACAATTAACCAGAACCCCCATCTTTCACTGACCTTAACCAAAGAGATTTTGTTGTCTAAACCACAGACGGGGCTCTGGATGTGAACCTGGTCTCTGTAGTCACGGTCCTGATCTTTGGACGTCGTCCATCCACCTCGTAGTGACTCTGCTGCCATGTCTGTGCCTTGATGAATGTAGCGCTTCATTAATTCTAAAAAATGTTCCATTTGAAATACATTAGTTTGAAAGTTCGAGTCCATGTACATAAATCAATAGATTAAATTTCACAAACTGTTGTGAGAGTGGGTTGGAAGTTTGTGAAACCATCTATTTCCAGCACAAACTGACTGTTTTACCATTTTGTCTTTAGCTACAGAAACACGCTCAGGCCTGTTGAACCTGTCAGAAGTTTTACATGTTTAGTTTGAGCTGAATTGATCAGCTGATTCATTGATTAGTCGACTGACACATCATTAAAATCATTTTTCAAACAAAAATGGTGACGACTCCCTGGATCCATCCAATATTTGTAGATGTCAGCTTGTGGGAACTGATGGGTATCTTTCATTGTGATTCACTAAGTGATATTTTAGTGGGTTTCAGGCTTCACAAATCCAAGCAAAGTCACTCCAGGTTGAAGGATTTAGACCAATCAGACACTTGTTTCATCATTACAACGTATACAGCTTTTCAATAACTGGAATCAAAGTTCCCCCATTTGCCCCCCCCCCCCCTTCATTGGATGTGAACAAAACTCAGTGTGTATGTTCAGGACGTACTGCAGGACGTCTGTTTAGAGTTTAGTCAGGATTGATCAAAGGCATCTTGAGTTATGAATAATAATTTGATAGGCCACACCCACTTGGACCAATCAATTTAGCTCTTCAGATTTTGGTTAAAACTGGCCCCAAAATCATGTTCAAATGTGGTGATATTCTGTCCTCCGGGTTTTGAGATACATGACCTGCTCAAAATGCTTTGGTAGACGTATTCACATAAACATAACCTGAGGATATGTACCCTGATTTAGGATGATTGGTCAAATTGTTAAC